ATCATCTTCAACAAACACATTCCAAGCTCGGATACATCGCATATCGCGGGGGCGGTAACATCGGGATTTGCTCAGACGTGATTATTATCTCTTCATTGACAGCCTCTACATCTATCCACCCACGCTTTCCTTTATGACACTCTAGGCCCCCTGTGGTTTCCTAATGTCATTTTTAATAGATGGGCAGCATGTATCGTATTTAGGGTGAAAATCCGGGCGTAGTGTTATGCATTGCTGCACAAGCGATGATGGAAAAATTTCTTATCTGACTTCATCTGGGACCAAATCTCATCTAATGTTTCGCCTGAAAATATCGCGCACCATATTTGAATGTAGCTCGAAACAAACGCTAGATTTCCTTAGAGGATATTGACTACGTGATAAAAACCTAAGCCCCGCTCCTTATTGTAACCAAGCGTGGTATTTTGAAGATCCCCTCCCCCCCTGAACGTGTCACGTAGTATGGGTACGTTCCCTAATCTAGATACAATGTAAAAAAAATTGATTTTGTTACACGTAATTTAAATTAATTTTTTAATTTATAATAAGTCAATCTAATTGATGACCAGTTTTTTAATATACATACATATAGTTATTCAAGCATTGCTTTAAGTTTTTATACATCTATTGAAATTCATAAGAGAGTTTCTCCTGGAATTCTATATTATTTTGTGAGTAGAAAATTTTTCGAGTTCCTACTTTAAAAATTGAATTTTATAAGGGTCCAGGGAAGCAAGCTGAATTAGATTTAGGCAGACCTGTTAAATAATGGTTAATAATCATAATGATAATGAATTAAAGCATTTTTTTTCGGTAACCGTTTAATGATTAAAAATCATTAATTACACCTTTTTAATGATTAATAATTACTTACTTTCAAATAAAAAATTAATTAATTTTAGTTACATGATTATATTGTTATTTTTGATTATTTATATTGAACTTTTTTCGTGACAAAATGTGATAACTTGAGAACGAAAACACCTAGCGAAATAAATTTAACAGCAGATAATATACATACATACCGATGTCTATATGTAAGATCTGCTCCAATGCGTCCTCTACAAAATTTTTTCTGAAAGTATTAATGAATAGAGGCATTTCATTTCACCACGGCCAATTCTGTGCGCGACCGCTAAGGATTTGGATGAAAGTTGAGGAGATTGAAGGTCTAGAAGACATGAATATACGTGCATAATATTTTGCCGATATGAAGTTTGGTTGCCTATTTACACAGGACTTATATTTTAAGAAAACGTCATACATACCTTTCTTTAAATAACTGTATCTTGCAAACCTTTTAACGAAACTTAATGAAAAGAATTGTATTTCTTCCGTCTTATTATGGGCTTTAACTATACATTTTTTACATTAATGTTGTAACGATCAGCCTGCCATATTAACAGACAGCGTCAAACTCCTTCATACTGCATCAAACAGCCTCTGTTAAAATGTTGCAATGGGACTTGCTTGAAGTTAGTTACTTGTGTTTAGGGATGGCTTTGTATGTGTGCGTAAATGTCCGAGATGTAAAAGCGCGCGAGTGTATGTCCTAGTGTGAGTGTTGAGTGAAAGTTGTAGCTGAAGAAATTCTTGCACTTTACGAGTACCTCGGGGGCACGATCGCCAAAGGAATTGGCGGCAGAAATCAGATCTGTTAGTGACTTAGAAGTCAGTGGGAGCGTCCGCGGAATATTAAGTTCGAAGTAAAGGAAATAAGGTGCATTTTTCTAGATTTTTTTTACAAAGCCGTTGTGCAAGTGTGAAGACCGTTAACGAAAGAACGGGTTGATTACGTAGCAATTCGCCTCAACTATACCTCTTCAAAAGCCTGCTAAACTTGAGGTCCCCACTAGGCAGGGGTGACACTAGGGCCTCAAAATCCGAAAGTTCCCACTTACGCGCTTGTACATATCAACAATAAGCCAATATTCAAAACCAGCTGATAGCCCTGAGTACATAAAATAGGTCAGTGACCGCAGGGAAAGAAGTAAAGGAATAAAAGTGCAAAGCGACAGAGGGATACATTGTGGACTGCGAGAGTGACAAAAGAAAGAAAAAAAAACTAACAGGGAAACAGATTTGAAGCAGTGCAGCTTTCCAAGAAGGAGAAGGCGAACAGGAGAGCTGACGAGTGTTCGCACATAAATACACACATACATATAAATCGATCGCCAACTTCGAGCGCCGGACCACACTCTGGAAGTGGTTTGACAGGAGCTTTCAGGTGCTCTTGTCTCGGCTCTCTCCGCGCTCGCGCGGCAACGAGTATCACACGTGGCTACCCAACAACTATTTATTTAAGTTTCTTTAGCTTTTTTTGTTCCGATGATTAATTGTTCTTTATACGTATGAAATCCTTTCTTTTTTTTGGTTTTGGTAGGATGAATGTAGATAAGGAGGCGTTATCATTTTAATAACTTTTATTTGTAACCACATAGTTAGTAAAGATTATTTGAAGCGATAGATATAATTTTTTTACTACTAAGTTTTATCATGAAACTCACTCACGAATGTTCAAGAATTCCTTAATCATTAAATTGCGCAGACTAGTAGAATAACTCCAGGTTATGGTGGATTGTTTTTTTTATTTTTTAATTATTTTTATTGAGAATTTTAGTTATATTTGACGAAAAATAGTGTAGCTTCTTGATTTTGTTCCTCCTCGTAGTTTTGTAAGTGATAGAATGAAGGCTATGATAGTGAAGAAACTAGGAAAATAGAGTCATAGTATTCCATGAATGTCGGACACTGGAATTATAGTATATATGCGTTGTCCCTTTCCAATTTTTCTCGTTTTCAGCTAAGCCACTCACTGGATGTAGGCGCCTTCATCACGGGAGAGCTTGGTGAGTAATAAATTTCTACATATTTATGTATATATACATAAGTACACATCTTCATGTCTATTTATGCAAAAAAAAAAAAAAAAGTTCAGTAGCTTGATTTTATATACTACACGCCATTCATGAATGCTAGGTTCTCTCTGCTGATAATTTAAATACAGTGGAGGCAAAATTAAGTGTCCACCGATAAAATTGTATGAATTTTAATTGAAAATATCTTAGAATTGCTATCGTTATTGTTCTAGTAAAGGTCAATTGACACGTATGTAGTTCTGAGATTTTGAATTATTTTTGATATACACATACTTATATTTTAAACGTGATTGAATTTCAGATACTTTGGGTTTTTTTGCTCTTAAAAGTATAAGAAGAAAAAAAAAAGGAATTTTTGATAAATTTCTTTCAATTGTAGTAGTAGTAAGTAAGCTTTAGAATTGTTTTAGGTTTTTTTTGCAAATACAATTTTATTGATGTGAATTGAAATTTAAGTTTCTTTTGGTATAAACATGAGTGGCTAAAGTCTCGGCGAGTTGGTGTGGGTGTTGCACGAGTGCAACGAAGGGGACGTAGATGCAAAGGGGGTATTGACTGACTGACGTGAACATGACTGGACTGTAGACTCGACGGACGATTGTTAGGCTAAGGGAACTCCGCGGATAGTAGGAGTCACGGCGGAGTTCATGGCTACTTCGGTGAAAAGTAGATGGGGAGGGCTGACTCCAACTGACAGGACGGACTTTTCTTTCATCATAGCCGTATACTCCTGAATGCTCCTTTCTTCATGCATCTTCTATCTTCCTCTTACTACTTATGCTAAATATGCAGGCATGAGTTAATTTGTTTGTGTTAGCTGTAGGTAAGGTCGGTGGAGACGATCCACCCCACCGACGAGATCAGCCAGGGCCAACTAGCATGTCTGCACGACACCGTACCTTGCCCCAACAGTCAGCAATACAACAATGGCGCCCAACGTGGGGCCGAATATTCTTTCTATTAAATTTCAGTACAGCTTTCCTCACTATCTTTTACGTTCATTATCCTTTTTTCTTCAACTTTTTTTATCTTTCATATTTTCGCCTTTCGGACAGTATAGGGTCGTAGGGACAACATCGTTGAGATTAGCAATTAACGATTAGTGTCGTGATGACAAAGTTTTTGGGGGGTACCTTTCTTTTTTTTACAAAAGTTCCTTTGGAATGCTTCAACGCTTTTTAAAGAGGTATCTGGTAAAAA